TGCAGTCCTATCCATCTGCTTACGGCTCAGAAGCTGGTTACTTTCCCCAACAACAATTTGTTAATCCTCCACAACAAGTTGTTAATAATCCTGCACAACAATTTGTTAATAATCCTCCACAACAATTTGTTAATAATCCTCCACAACAATTTGTTAATAATCCTATAAATCCTCCACAACAATTTACTAATATTCCAATGAATCCTCCACAACAATTTACTAATATTCCAATGAATCCTCCACAACAAGTTGTTAATAATCCTCCACAACAATTTGTTAATACTCCTATAAACCCTCCACAACAATTTGTTAATACTCCTATAAATCCTCCACAACAATTTGCTCGACAAACTGTTATTTATCCTATGAATCATCCACAACAATTTGCTACAAATACTCCAAAAATGGGGTTTATGGGTCCTCAACAATTTAATAATCATCCTACGAGTCCTCCACCTGTACATATTAATCAACCGTCAATGCCAAGAAAAAATACTGCACAATTGAAAAAAGAGGCTGAAGAACAAAAGAAACGACTTAAAGAAGAAAGAAAAAATTATCCATACAGGAATCCTTCTACTTGTACTAGAAGAAAGGTTATTTTATTCACTGTGGGAAATCTTATTAGTTTAATGACCACTGGTGGTACTATGTATTTTTATTATACTGCTGTATGTATTATAATTCTTTATTACTTTTATATTATTAAATCATTAATAAATATTCTAATACTAATTATTTCTATTTTACTTGTTATAATTAGTATTTAGAACATTATATGTCTGGAGGTTTATTTATAGTTATATTCCTTTGTGAACTTATTCCTAGATTTATACAAACCTATCAAGTTTACAGATTTACTAAAAAGACTGTGGGATTTCATCTTAGTGATACGATTGGAGTTTTTTTATGTAAAATAAATTATTATTATTGGATGGGTAAAAGTCGAAAAGAATTAACAAGAACAAAATGTACCAAAATTGAGCTTACAGATAATTATATAGGATTAATAAAATTACTCGTTTTAGTTTGTGTACTTTGTCTTTTACCTACACAAACTGTTTCCACTAAAATGAGTAAAGGTTTATTAATTTCATCAGCTATACTTTTAGTTACTTATATACTTCTTTTAATTAGATTTTTCGTATTTTTGGTAAAGAAAATTGGAAAATGTTGTTGTCGATAATATTTTTGTTCTTTAATATATAAGTTATGTAATGTATATTGTATTAAAATAAATTAATATATTCACACTAAACCTGTAATGGGAAAATATATTAACAGAGAAATAAAATTATGAGAGTTAAGGTTATATAAAGATAATTATAATTTTGAAGTATATTTTCAATTACTTAAATCTATTATATTATTTTAATTCGATCTAGAACAATTCATTTAAACCCGTTAAGATTGAAATCCAGAGCCAAAAAAACTACGGCCAGTGCACATGACTAATTCCATTGCCCGTGTTGTTTTCTGTGGATCACGTGTCTGCCACCAACACCTTGAAATGTTATATCGGTTGCAATTTTTGCACATTTTATATTCTATGAAACTATTTAGAAAATACTACATTATTCATCGTAGTATTAGATACTAAATGTTATTAATAAAAATGAAAATAATATAAATGAATAAAAAATAAATAAATAAAAGAAGCTAGCTCACTTATTGAAAAATGAACGGATATGGGCAGGGACACAGAAAAATGCGATTTCATTTATAGGATATGAAAATCCTATAAATAAAATCGCACTTTTTCCGGGTCCCTGGTATGGGATCATTTGGACCTGAGTTGGTTTTAATAAACCCGGAATGGGATTATTTGGGTTCAAATAACCCAAAAACAACCACTGATCCTATTAGAAATTAGAATATTAGGACTATCGATATCAGAAATGGCAAGTTATAAAATAGAACAGGCTTGGTGGGTCAATTTTTGATCGATTATAGGATCGGTTTTAAGAGGATCGACAGTAGTAGCATTCCAAAAATAGATCCAAAATGAACAAGTTCTTAGTTTGAATCCAAGGTATTATTTTGACATGATTTTTCAATTCAATTTAGACTAAATAGTTTAAACCAATAAAAATTTTAAAATTTATTTTTAAATAAAATAATTTTTTGAAATAATGGTTATAAGCAATAAATATATCATTAAATATATTAATTATCATCTAAGTACAAATATAGCGTTAGAAATAAATTTGTTGTGGAGGATTAACAAATTGTTGTTGGGGAAAGTAACCAGCTTCTGAGCCGTAAGCAGATGGATAGGACTGCA